GCTTTAATTGTAGATGAAATAATAAATTAAGAAGATCAAAAAGCTATTGAAACTCTTTTGTAAATTACTATAAATGAATCTTTAAAAACTAATATAAATCAATATTTGAAAATTGTTGATTTAATAATTTTAACAGAATAATTATTAACAGATGCTGAAATTGTACAACTTGTTTTTGAAGAATAATATAATAAATTTAAATCAAATGATAAAATTAATTAAGAATATCATGTAATATCAATAAATGAAACTTTTAATGATCTTAAAACATAGTTACAATATTTAAAAAAAATAGAAAAGTTGAGAAGTTAATATAAAAGATATGCTGATTTTTAGAAAACATATGAGAATTATACAATGAAAAGTTTTTGAAAGTAAAGTATAAAAAAATATTACCAATTTCTTTTTAGTTGATAATATATAATTTTATATTATAATAATAATATTAATAATAATATTATTATTAAAATGATTTTATAATATAATCTCTATTTAATTATAATATTATAAAATTACTTAATTGTATAATTATATAAAGTGATCTAATATATAATTATATCTCTATATAAATATGTATTTTATATGCACCTAACTGTGTGACTATAAGGAGGTATGATTATACAATATTACTTCAATTAGATAATAATAATTACACTTCTAACTATATTAATGAAGACGTTTCATCCTTCTCTAACATCAAATTACTATATTTCATGATGGTCGTTAATGTATCATTTAACATATAGATAATGATATTTCTCATATAAACAAAAATTTAGTTGATAATATTATCTTAGGGGATACCGTCAAATTTGTTACATATATTATTAGAGAAGTCAACAAAGCTATGTATCTAGTAAATCTTCTCAAATATTTAAATTCTTTAAAAATAAAAATATGAATTTTGTAAGCTTAATAAAAATCCACCATAAGTTCTCAATACATTATAAATATAAGAGTGATAAATTTTACACTTTCTTCTAAAGTAATTCTGATACAAATCAATACATGTAAGAGTAACCTTATTGATTTCAAAAAAAATGTAATAAACACATTGTAAAAACTTCAGTTTCTAATCCAAGATTGATCTATGTTAATCTCTTTCTAAAAGGACACATTAAACTCAAAATTATTAGTTACTATCTTCATGCTAACATTTACAATAAAGAGATAATCAAAAAAAAATGATTTACAATAAACTATTCTTAATATGCTTAATGAGTGTAACAAGAACTATTACCATACTATCTTAATGAGTGATTTCAATACAGATATAGATAACTATCACGAATATATAAAACTCAATAAATCTCTTAGTTGATGTTTCAATTTAATTATTAGACTAGAACAGAGAAATTTTTAGATCTCCAAATGGCAAGCAATAATAAATTACTTTCTATATATTATCTCTCACAAAGAAATATAATAAATTCATCTTCAAAAAAATTAGATGGTATCTATATTTTCTCTAATTTTATATTTAACTTTCTATATTATGGTATTTCTAAATCCTTCATATACAAGTCAGACCACAAAATAGTCACTATATTCTTTACCAACCTTTATCCTAAACAAGAAGCTAATACAAGAAGAAGCAATTTAAAGAGGAAAAAATTCAACTTCTTAATTATAAATAAATCAATGTGACAGATTTTTTCTAATGCGACTAATAAATAATTTCATCAGCATTCTATGCATAAATATAATTCTCTATCAACTTTTTCAATTTTAAATATTAATAAGCTATAAAAATTACTCAAAAATATGATCCTAATTGTTGCAAATAAAAACATCCTTTATAGATAGATCTTTGCTGATCAGAAATCTCTAAAAGCTAAAGAACTAGTTACTTTTATGACTAAATAAAGCTTCTTAATCACATTATTATTATAAAATTTTAAGCTGCTAGAATTAGAAAGAAAAAATAGCTTTTTGAAAATAAATAAGAATTTGTTTACATTACTATTAGAGATGTAAATAAAAAAGCAAAATTACCTGATATTATTTTATTTAACTTCATTGACGATTTAAACATTAAAATTGACAAATGTACTGTTCTTAAACTTTTTCACAATATTAAAGTACTCTTAAAGGTAGAAGAAGATAATATAATTAAGATATTTATAAATTATCATATTGATCAACATTGTCTTCAATTTGAATTCAATTCAGAGAAAATGATTCAATCAATATTAAATAAGAAGAAACAATCAATAATTCTGGATAGACTTCTAATCAAAAATAGAAATGATTAATAAATATTAATAAATGATTATCATATAATAAAGAACTAAGTTAATAAGCATTTTTAAAATTATGTAATATCTGATTTTTTTGCGATTCCAATTTTTGGTAGATAAAAAATATAATATCAACTTAAAAATAATATTAAGAACACATAATATAATAATGTTATGCAACTACCTACTTTAATGAATGGATAGCTGTTATATCTCAACTCTTAAATGATAAAGCAACTAGACTATCAGGCATACATAATGAAATAATAAAACATCTAAGAACTGAGATACAAAATTTATTCTGAAAACTCATTAAAGTGTAGTTTGAAATTAGAAACATTTTATCAGAATGGAAACATGCTCACATATATTCTATTCCCAAACCTATTAGTTTAAAATGTGATATTTCTAAAACTTATCCTATTACTCTACTAAAAACTACTTATAAAGTCTTTGTAAATATTATTACTAATCACTTATTAAAGATTTTATCAAAACACAAAATCCTTACAGTAGTGGTTATAAGTATCAAACTACCTCTAACTGTAAGTAAATTCAAAATTTTTTTATTTAAAAAATACATAAATAACTAACTAAAATTAATATATTATGTAATTACCATTTGACTCTATAAGTGTAGTTGTATGCTTTTTTATGCTAGCTACCAAATTTGTGATAAGTACAAATAATAATCAGTTTCATTCTTTTGTAAGTTCTTTCCTTAATTTTCTAATTGATCAAATTTTTTTTTGTATATTAATTTTCATTAATCTTCAAATCTTTTCTATAAGGTTTTAGTTTGAAGATATTGATGGCTAAGAAAGTATCTCAATACCATTTTTTTTTTTTATTTTTTTGTGATTTTTAATTGATACTTTTGATCATTATTTTCTTGCAAGATTCAATTTATATTATCTTACCAAAAAGTTTAAAGGTAGAAACTAGAAGATTCTGCTCATAAATAATACATATAAATTCAGCATTAAGGTTCCTCTGAAAGCAAAATAACTTATCAAATCCAAAAGCAGAAAAACATCTCCAAACATGAACTTTTGGTAGATGCATAACAAAACGAAACATTTTTTTTTTATCAGAAAACTACTAAACCTTTTTTTAATATATATAATTGAAATGTATTCTTATCTGTAAAAACAACTTGATTATAATTAAAATTCTTATGTTTTTTATCTATTATAACCTTTTTTTTCAATGGTTTTCTTTAAGTAAAGGTTTAGAAATTTTATTACTAAATTTTTCTTCAGACTTATGAAAATATCACCTTACTGATTTTACACTAAGTCCAATACCTCTTTCTTCCATTTTTTCTTATATTTGAATGGCTGTTATATTATGTTTTTTCTCTATCATCTTTATAATTTTATCATCTTATTTCACAATTATTATACAAGGCTATCCTGATCTTTTTGAAGTACTTAGATCTCAATTTTTATAATATTTTTTAATCCAATAAATAGCTGTAGACTTATTATAGTATACCTATTTAGCAATAAATCTAAAACTAAACTTTAAACTAGCTGAATGCTTATGTAAAAAGATAATTTCATATTACTTTCCTAAAAAAAACTCTATTTTTCAAGCGAAAGTTTGATGATTATCTAAATTTTTTTTTATCATTAATACTTATAAATTTATAAATGATTATGTATTATATTATATTATATTTCTGAAAAATTTAAGAAGTAGTTATATAATAATTTGGGATGATTTTAGGTGGTCAAATACTTATAAGCACTACTATAAAGGAAATAATTTTACTGATCTATCAGAAGATTTGACTGAAAATCCTATTAAATTGATGAATTTGATTTTAGAAAACACAAATGAATAAAAAAAGGACCTCTGAATTCTATTGCAAGATCTTTTTAAAGCTTATAATAGGGTTAATATTAACATATTCAAAATAACTTTTAAAAGAATTAAAGTTCTAGAGAAATGAATTTTATATCTAATTAATCTCTTCACAAATAGAAAAAATGCTATTTTTACAAAAAATGGTCTTTCTGATTTCTATAATATAAAAATTGGCATAGATCAAGGAGAAGTTATTTCTCTACTCCTATGATGCATTTATTTTGACTTGTTACTATGTAAAATAGATAGTCTAGGAAAAGGATACAATTTTAACTACATTTAGATCACAGATATCTGATCTAATACAACCTTTTTCATTTTAGCACAAGTCTCTACTCTTGAATATATAGATAATTCAAATTGGATTGTGCATACAAAAAAGGATTTAGAAAATATTCTAGATATTGTTGATGAATTTTATTTAATCACACACGCTGTTATCAACAAGACAAAATTGCAACTACTAACTAATACTGTTGCTTCTTTTTCTTCTACATCAAGAAATTTTTTTTGGAAATATATGTTAATGAAAAGATCCTGTATTATATCTTGATAATAATCAAACTTATTGAGTAATTTCAAATGATAATAAATAGTTAGAATTTAACTAAAATGATTAAATATCAATATTTAGCCTAATCAAGAAAATTTTTAAGAAAGTATATTGATTAAGAAGTTACTAATGTATATTAATAATAATCAGACTCATCGATTAAGTTGAGAAACTCTTATACAATAAAAATCAGAAAAAATTCAAATGATAAATATTGAAAATATTTATTGCAATTATTAATGTAAATGATATTATTTATTTATTTATTTATATTAATAAATTTTATAATAATAATTATAATTAATTATAAAATGCTATTTTCTAAATAATTGCTACTAATCATTATTAAACAAGTCATCATATAATGTCATTAATGTATTATCACCTATAGATACTTCTGTTTTTTCCTCCTCTTCAAAAGTCTCTCTTTTTAGAATTCCTGAAATTTCTTTTCTCAATATCTCCTATGCGTCGTGTATAGTAAAACCTTTTTTTCTTAAATAAATTCTAATAAAATATTAAATTTAATTAGATTTCAAATTATATAAATATGATTTTAAATAATAAATCACATACCTTAAATTTCTGATATTATTGCTCTAGAGGTTTTTTTTGCATTCTATATCAGAGTAGTTGGGATTCAATATTATATCACATATTATTGATGTATAAATATATATATTTTAAAACATCTCGCTAGTATCAGATAATGAGAAAATATAAGTTTTATTATATTTTTAATTATATTATCATCATCATATAACTAAAGCTCTAAACGGTTTAGATTAATCTAAAAATTTTCAATTTAAATCACCTTCAATTTAGTTTCAGATTGCAAAAAATTCAATCTGAAAATTTTTAATTCAGTTTGAATTTTTTTCAGATTATAAATCTAATCTGAACTGAAAAAAATCTGAACTGAACTAAAAATTTTAGATTAATCTGAAATTTCAGATCAGTTAGAATAATTCTTTTATCATTCGTTTGAAATGATAATTTCATTATTCTAATTGAATGATCTTTTTATTGTTCTTTTAGAACAATAATTTAATCATTTATATCAAATGATTTTCTTATTGTTCGTTTGAAATCATTTCAAATGAACAATTTTTTTATCATTTTTTAGAATGATAATTTAATCGTTCTAATTAAACAATCCTTTAATCGTTCTTTTGGAATGATAATTTAATTATTTTAATTAAACAATTCTTTTATTATTCATTTAAAACAATAATTTTATCGTTCTAATCAAATGATCCTTTTATCATTCTTTTAGAATAATAATTTAATTGTTTCAATCAAACAATTTTCTTATCATTCGTTTAGAATGATAACTTCAATTGTTTCAAATGAATGATTCTTTTATTGTTTTTTTAAAATAATAATTTAATCATTCTAATCGAATAATTCTTTTATCATTCTTTTAAAATGATAATTTAATTTCTAATTGAATGATCCTTTTATCATTCTTTTAAAATGATAATTTAATTATTCTAATCAAATAATCCTTTTATTATTTTTTAGAATAATAATTTAATTGTTATAATCAGGGTTGTTCAAATACAATATACGAATAAAATTTTCATACAAGTATAGTACTTGTATATTGTACTATGTACTTAGTACAATTTAGTACATAATAATTAATATAATCGTACACTGTACGATATATATTTCGTATAATTTTTGTACAATTTTTGTACTTAGTACAGTAGTACAATTAAATATATTAATATAAATTTAATAAATTTAAAAAATATTGCATTTGTAATTTTTTATACAAAAATGGTTCAAAATTTAAAAGAATATATTGTTAAAACAAATAAAAAAAGTGGATCCAGTAACAATTTATGTTACTGTAAAGCTTGTTTTAAAAAACTTGGTGAAAACCATTTAGAATTAAAAACTATAATAGATAAAACTGAAAGAATTCTCACACATTTTAAAAATTGTCAAAATTTTCAAAATGCATATAGTCAGCAAG